AGAAAACTCCAGAGCCTTTGTCTAAGGGTATCTGCCAATCCCTGTTCTCCTAGAGCATGGGTTTTAATGAGGCGTGAGTGTGTCTGGGACAGGAGACAAAACCTGGAGCCCCAGTGTCCTTGTATAAGGTATTGATTAACTTTAAATAAACATGTAAGTCATATGAACATCTGAGGTCTCCACTGAGAGAACTGAAAGAAAGTGTGTAACTTCCAAATGAGTAGAGTTGGGGTGGGGGAAGGAATGATAGGAGGAAGAAAAAAAATCAACACAAAGGAGAGCAAGAAAGAAAAGGAAAAAAAGCAAACTTAGAAAACAAATGGACAAATAGAAAGTAAAAACTAAGATGAAATAAATGAGTCCAATTTAACAATAATCACGAGCTACACAAATGAATTATAATCTCCAGTTAAAAATCAAAGATTGTTAGACTAGATTTTAAGAATTCAACTTTAAACTATCCGTAAGAGAAACCCCTATAAATATAAGGACAGAGGCAGATTGCAAGTAAATTGATGGGAAAAGACATACGAAGAATGAGGTTAAAAAAAGGAGATATAGCTATATTAAATATCACATAAAACCAGACTTCAAGACAAAAAGCACTACTGCAAATGGCGAGGATGACTACATATTAATAAAGATGTTCAAGCTGGGACACAGTGAGAGAGTAGCATTGACATGTATACACTACCAAATGCAAAATAGTTAGTGGGAAGCAGCTGCATAGCTCAAGGAGATCAGCTCTGTGCCTTGCAACCACCTAGAGGGGTGGGATAGGGAGGGTGGGAGGGAGACGCAAGAGGGTGGGGATATGGGGATATATGTATACATATAGCTGATTTTCTCTGTTATACAGCAGAAACTAACACAACATTGTAAAGCAGTTATACTCCAATGAAGACGTTAAAATAAATAAAGATGTTCAATTTACCAGGAAGATGTAATTCTAAGTTTATGTGCTCCTAAAAGAATAACTTTGAAATATATAAAAAAGAAATTGCTGGAACTACAAGAAAAATAAACACATCCCAAATCACAGGTCATTTTCACACATCTCTCTCAAAATTGATGAACCAAATAGACAATAAATCAGTAAGGAGTTAACAGATTTGAAGAATACAATTAACAAGCTTGTTTAATGCACAGACACAATACACTGAAAGCACATTCTTTTCAACACATGTAACATTTATAAAATGGATCATCCAATAGGCCATGGAGAAAATCTCAGCAAAACCCAAAGAATTTGTATCATATAGCCCACATTCTCTAACAGTTAAATTGGAAGTCAAAAATGAAAAAATAACTAAGGAAACCCCGTACCTTTGAAAATTGAAAAACACATTCTAACTCATGTGTTAAAGAAGGAAATCAAAGTAGGACTTACTAAATGTTTAGAACTAAGTGATCATGAAAATACTCATCAGAACTGGTGGGATATAGAGAGCTAAAGCAGTAATAGGGGAAAGATTGTAGTCTTACTGCTTATGTCAGTGACGAGGAAAGTGTGCAAAGTAATAAACTGAGCATTCAAGTCAAGAAGTTAAAAAAACAAAAGTGAATCAACCTAAGAATAAGGAGGGAAATAATAAATGAGTAAAAATCAATGAAAGAAAACTGCTATACATTAGAGAATGTCCCCCCAAAACAAGATTGTCTCTCTTTTTATTGAAAGAGTAACACAGCTGACAAACTGCTGGCAAGATTGATGAACAAAAAAGAGAGAAGACTCTAATAACCAGTATCAGGAAGGAAAAAGCGTACTCCCTATAGGTGCTGCAGACATGCACAAAGATAAAAACAGGATATTACTGACGACTTTATGCTGATTATTGAATATTTGGAAAAACTCACACATTCCTAGAAAAGTGTAATTTCCAAAGTTAAATCAAGAAGAAACATAAAACCTGAATAACCCAATAACCAGGATAGGAATTGAATCATTAGTTAAAATTCTTACCATAAAGAAAGTATCCGGCCTAGATGGTTTTGTAAGGAGTTCTACAAAATGACCAGGAAATAAATCATTCTAATCTTACACAAACTATTCCAGAGTATAGAAAAAGAAGGATCACTTGCCCGTTTTATGAATCAGATATATATCCTTGATACTAAAAATGGAAAGCCACAAACAGAAAATGCAAATTTTTTTAAATGTATAATTTACAGTTGCAACAAAAAGTATAAGCCATGGAGGAAAGAAAACTAACAAAAGGCATGCCAAACTGTATTACAAAACTTCAAAGATATTACAGAAGACTTAATAAATAGAAACATATCAACACACCATTTTCATGGATAAAAACACAGTATCCTAATATAAAGATGCTAGTTCTCCCCAAATTGATACGTAGATTAACACAATTCCCATCAAAATCCAAAAATATTTTTTGTACAATTTAAAAATGATCCTAAACTTTATCTGAAAGAGCAAACAGTCAAGAATAGTAAGATATTCCTGAAGGGGAAGAAAGAGAAAGTGAGGGAACTTGCCCTGCCAGATAACAACAATTAGAATGCAATGGTAGTTAAGATACTGTGATATTGTTTTGGGAATAGACAAACAGACCACTGGAACAGAACTAGAAAGCCCCCAAACAAAGCAACAAGGAAATCTGATATATGCCAAAATTGATACTGCAGACCAGCGGGGAAAGAGGATGTATTAGCCAAATTTTGCTGAAACAACTAAAAATAAAAAAAGCCTACCCTACACCAAAATGGATTCCAATTCTAAATGAATGAAGAACTTAAAAATGAAAAGCAAAACTTTAAAAGTTTTAGAATAAGACCCCAGAGACTATTTTTGTGATATAAGAGTAGGGAGGATTTCTTAAACAAGATATAAAAAATAAAAATCATAAAGGAAAGGATTCATAAATTCAACTATATTAAAAGTAAGAACATCTATTCATCTAAATGCATGATAAACAGAGTGAAAAGAGCCACAAACTGGGAAGTGATTTATATAAACCAACGACCAACAAAAGATTAGTATCTAAAATATATCAAGAACGCCTACAAATCAATAAGAAAAGACAAACAAATCAATTAAGAAATGGGCAAGGGGGGCTTCCCTGGTGGCGCAGTGGTTGAGAGTCCGCCTGCCGATGCAGGGGACGCCGGGTCGTGCCCCGGTCTGGGAAGGTCCCACGTGCCGCGGAGCAGCTAGGCCCGTGAGCCATGGCCGCTGAGCCTGCGCGTCCGGAGCCTGTGTTCCGCAGCGGGAGAGGCCACAACAGTGAGAGGCCTGCGTACCGCAAAAAAAAAAGAAAAAAAAAAAAAAAAAAAGGGCAAGGGGCATGAACAGGCATTTTCCAAAAGAGAAAACATAAATGACAAAAAATGCATATGTGAAAACATGCTCAGTCTCATTAATAATTTAAAAAATTAGGGCTTCCCTGGTGGTGCAGTAGTTGAGAATCTGCCTGCCAATGCAGGGGACATGGGTTCGAGGTCTGGTCTGGGAAGATCCCACATGCCGCGGAGCAACTGGGCCTGCGAGCCATGGCCACTGAGCCTGCGCGTCTGGAGCCTGTGCTCCGCAACAAAAGAGGCCGCGATAGTGAGAGGCCCGCGCACTGCGATGAAGAGTGGCCCCTGCTCGCCGCAACTAGAGAAAGCCCTCGCACAGAAACGAAGACCCAACACAGCCAAAAATAAATAAATTAATTAAAAAAAAAATTAAAACCTTATGAGGTAATATTTCACACCTAGCAGATTAGCAAAACTTAGCCTGACAACACCAAGTGCTAGAGAGCATGTGAAGCAAGAGAAAGACTCATATACTGACAGTGGGAGGATAAACTGAAAAGGAAAGCATTTTGGACCTGCATGATGAAATTAAACACACATGTGGCTCTATAGCCCGGCAATTTCACTCCTACATTTAGACCCTAGAGAGTGTTGATTATATTTATTTGGTAGAACTATAAAGAAATACAATGAGTGGTTAATACGCAAGCAGAACAGGATAGTGGGCACCTCCCTCCTCTGGAGGGAGGAAAGGATCCATGGGGTGGGGTGGGGTGGGGTGGGGTGGGTGGGAGGGAGCTCATAAGATGGGCTTCAAAGGTACTGGTGATATTCTTGCATTGAATCATGGACATACGTGAACTCTTATCTTGTCACCGTTTATAATACACATTATGTTCTCTACAATCTTATGTATGTATGGTACTATATTTCATAATAAAATGGTAAGTAAATAAATAAATTAGTTCCAGAGGCTAAAGAACTGCAGTTGGAACCCACAGAATGGGCCAGGTAGGTTCTAAAGGATGACTGGGAGGTGTAAAGATACCTCGAGGCTCTGATCCACGGCTGAAACTAGAGAAAAGCTTCACTAGAGTGACAAGAAAGCTCTTAAGTGGGGCGGAGACTCCTGCTGGTGCCCTTGGAGGTTGCTGGGAAATTTTATTGGAAGTAAATGAATAAGAAGAAAAATTTGAGCAAAGGAGTACTGACTTTCTTTTGTATCCAGGGAGGTAAAAAATGTGCACTCTGCTAATACGAAAAAATACTGTCTCTTTATAAAGAAAGAGGGTATTGTATCACTTGCTTTTCAAATAAAGTTTATTCTCCTTTGGGTAGCAGGAAGTCCAGAAGGCGGCAGTGTAGCGCTTATTCAATGGGCTTGCAATATTTTCTAAATCCAGGCTCCTTCTATCTTTCCACTCTGCCATTTTTAGTGTGTGGGCTTTTTGCCCCCTGCAGTTCCAAACTTCTCATCTAATTCAGCATGAGGGCATTTTACTGACTCTTGTCAGCCAAGTAAAGGCTTTCCTAGAACTCACCCACCGCCTGCCACTTCATATCCTAGTAGTCAGAACAGTGTCACATGGCCATTTCTTGCTGCAAGAGAGACTGGGAACATCATTATTTTGCCATCGCAGCCTGTATAATAGGATCAGGGAAGGGGGCAGTGGTTTCTGAGCCGCTATTCAGCAATGCCTGTCAAAATACTTCACTAAGAATTCTTCCTCTTTTTTCCCCAGGAGCCAGTCTACTTGATGACCTATATAAATATTTCTCCTTCCATCACTCCCATGGAGACACCATGACTGTCATGGATCCAAAGCAGATGAATGTTGCTGCTGCTGTTTGGGCTGTTGTCTCTTATGTCATTGCAGACATGGAAGAAATGCTGCCCAGGTCTTAGCAAGAGCAAGAGAGAAGGCACTTTTGTCCTTTCTGGCCAGGAATCCTGGGTCTGCAGCTTCAAGGAGCCCCGCTTCACCTAACAATTTTATGTGATCATTTACAAAGCACAACACTTTTTCATACTTTCTGATATCATGTTTCTTGATACTTTCCAAATTCTCTGTTCCTAGTGTAAGGAATAAGCCCCACCCCCACAAAGAATCAGCCAATGGTAGGGATCACAGTGAGGGCATTTCTTTACACCACATATTAAAAATACTGTTTCTACTTTGAAAGTAAATACTGGATAAAGCTTTGGAAGACCTCTGGCTTTTATGCATGTATTTATGAACATTAATTACAGTGACCAATATTTTGTTAAGTTATTCATTGAAGGAGTAGAGGAGTACACAATTGTAGTACAGTCTTAATTGAATGTATGGAGGCATCTGGCTTTCTCATTTGTACATTTTTATATTATTAGAATTTTTTAATGAGGTTAAAATTTTTTTAATTCACAGAAAGAAGTCACCATTTGGGGAAAAAGTCAAGTATGTAAAATCCAGTTGCCTTATTAAAGATCTGTCACCAAACAAATGATAATACTATTTGACATTTATGTTTTATATAGTTCACATAATATATCTATGAAGTTGGGGCTTATTCACATTTTGCTGATAACAAGTTTGAGGCTAGAGAAGCTAAATCATATTCACAGAGCAAAACACTGATCCCCTTCTACTCTGGGAATAATCTCTACTATTCTTCCACACACAATGTCCAGTATTCAATTTAAAAAATTACAAGACACACCCAAAAATGCAAGAAAAACTCATTGTCAAGAGTTAAAGCAATTAAGAAAACCAGACAATAGAGATAACTCAGATGTTGGAATATCAGAGAGGAACTTTAACATAACTGTGATTAATAGGTTACATTCTAGTGGGAAGATGGGTCTCTATACATGAACAGGAGAGTTTCAACAGAAAGATGAAAACTATAAAATGGAATCAAATGCAAATACTAAAATAAAAAATACAACATCAGAGATGGAGAATTTCCTTGCTGGGCTCATCAGCAGACTGGATAAAACTGAGGAAAGAATCAACAAACTTGAAAACAGATCAATAAAAATTATCCAAACTAAAACACTGAGAAAGAAAAGTGAAGGAAAACAAACACCAGAATGGATCGTTAGACTGTGATCTAATATATATGAGGCCTAACATACATGCAACTGAATTCTTAGAAGGAGAAGACAAAGTATCAGTTTTATTAATGGTGATGATTAAAAAGGCCTTTCATTTCTGGCAAGGTTGCCGACTGGTACACTGACTGACACACTGAAAACTAAAGATGTTGGATAACATCTGAGAAACACTTTCTTAAATATATGAATTAACTGATTAAAAGGTAAAGAATATTAGACAAAAAATTAAGTGGAGGCATGAACCAAGATGATATACAGCACATAAACCAGCTTTTCTTTTTGAGAAAATATGCAGGATGTGGTGAAGTTAAATTTCTATTTTCACAGCTTTTAGTGGCTCAGGGGACTATAGACAAATCCCATATTAGGGACATTAGAGAACCCCAATGAAACTGGGACCCCAAAGGATTACAGCTCAATACAATGGTGAACTAAAAATAACTCTGAGGACCATAAGGAAAATTACTGTTATTAAGTAACTGCTGAATGGAGGGTCCAGAGAAATTCCCACAGATAAAGTTACACAGTCAAGAAAATAAAACACAAAAACAGGAATCAGAACATTCTGAGCAACAGCAGTCCAAAAAAGAAAACATCAGAATTAATTCACAATATCCTCTGATACTGCAATTTTCAAATCAAGAATTTTCTAATCTATGCCTATTATGTTTTGAGGAAGTAAAAGAAGGGATTGAAAATAGAATAGAGAGTAAAGGACTATAAAAAGTGACGAAGCATATTGTTTTTTAAAAATATAGAACTTCTAGAAATGTAAATGGAATTTGAAAATTATAGGACCAGCTTAACTGCAGATAAGAGAATTCATGAACTAAAACAAATAGTGAAGAAATTAATGAGAATTTAGCACAAAAAGAAAAAGATATGGAAAAAATGAATGAGGTTAAAAACTATGAAAGATAAGAGTTATATGCCCTAATATATGTTTAATCAGGGTTCCAGAAAAGAAGAACTAAGACAAAGAATTATCTGAATAAATAATAAATGAAAATTTTCCAGAAATAATGAAATATACCAATCCACAGAATCAAGAAACCCAATGAATCCCAAACAGAATAAACGAGAGGAAATCTGCACTGACATGTTATAGAGAAACTACAGACCACAAAAGACGTAGAAAAAGAGTCATGTAAAATCCCAAATCCATTTATGATAAAACTAAAGAGGACATCCTTAACCTGATGAAAACCTCCTACCCCCAAAACAGTTTAAAATATCACAATTACAATGAAATACCAAAAACTTTTCCTTTAAGATAAGGAATAAGACACTGGAGCTACCTCTAGTCAATGGTATCTTAGATGTCCTGGCCACTACAGAAAGGCAGGGGGGACAAAGTCTAAGCAATGGAAATGAAGAAAGAAAACTTTTTATTTGTAGCTAAATATGATCGCCTATGTAGAAAATTCAAAAGAACCTACCAAAAAATCAAAATTAAAGACAAAGTTTAGGAGGTTTGGAGAGAAAAAACAAATATAATGAAAAGCATTTCTATACATATACTTAGAAAATGCAACCAAAAATATGTTACTTACATTAACATCTAATAATATATCTAGAAACAAATTTTACAAAAAAAGATGTGTAAGATTCTTTCAGGGAGAAAATGATAAAACTTCACTGAAGTATATTAAGGTAGAACTAAATTGGATAAATATGCCATGTTTAAGTTTTGGAAGACTCAATAGTAAAGATGTCCATTCTCCCCAAATCTATCTGTAGAATCCATACAATCTCAATGAAAAATTCCCAATGGGATTTTTTGGATTTGAGTTCTTAATTTTAGTTTATTGGTTGGTTGCTTGGTTTAATGTACCAAGCTGATTTTAAAAGGTAATTGGATGACAAAGGACTAACAGTAGGCAGCGTTCCTGAAAAAGAAAAAGTAGGGGATCATAGTAGCCATTAATGGGATTGCCAAATATTCTTGATTTTCTTTCTAGGCAAGGTTGTACTTTCCCGATCCCTTGTAATTTGGTATTACCATGTGCTTCTGACAAAGGAATAGGAGCAGAAGTGGTTACCTCTGAGTGGCAATTTTAAGACCCAGTGCATGATTTTGCCATCCTCTCTCTTCCTCATCATAGCAAAAGACAGTGTTGCAGAGAGTGCCTGCTCCAGGAATCCCCCTCCAGAGTGATGACCAGGCACAACCCAGCTTCTGGTCTACCCGTAATGAACATGAAGCATGAACAAGAAAGACACTGATATTATAGTATCACTGATAATCTGTGGGACTTTGTTACCACAGCTTACTCTGACTGATTTATTTTTATCTTACGTTGCCAGATATCAAGACTTCTTATCAGGCTGTAGTATTTAAGATGGCATGGCATTAGCACAAGGGTAGATAAACAGACCAATGAAACAGAATAGAGTCCAGATCCAGAATCACACATTCATGAAGACTCGATTTATGGCCAGGTTGGTACAGAAGATCAGCAAAAAAGAAAACACAGACTTCTCAATAAATAGTAGAACAATTGTCTCTAAGTAAACAAATTCGACTCTCACTTCATATCTCCTATGTAGCGTCCTGTTGAGAATAGATTGAAAACAAGTGATTGAATCGCTTGACTAATTTAAGGGCACAGTCCCCTGAAACACATCTGAAAGCACCGAGAACAGTGCACAGTACATAGTAGCTTCACAATAAATGTCCTCTGATTGGGGAATGTCAGCTCCTTTAATCTTGTGGCAAGTCCATTTCTCAGTTTCCATTCCTCAGTCCTTCTCTTCTTTGAGATAATGATAGGAACAGGATAAACGTTCCTAACATGCAGCCCTATCAAGAGAGAGCTAAACTGAATACCAGCAGGAAAGTCCTGGAATTCGCTCAAGCAAGGGAATAAGCTTAATCAGGAAACACGGGAAGCTGCCAAAGAGGGAGGTCTTCACAGTTGTGCTTTAGGTGGTCCCATTTGTATTCCATCTTCACAAAAGGAGACAGAAGCCATAAATGGAGACTTGGACTGCAAGTAACCCACATGGTTGTCAGTTCCTACTACAGTGGCCATGCAGAGACACAAGAAGATAGATCTTCTGACTGAGTAATGTTGGTCATGCGGTTTACAAGGTGATGTCTTCCACCTCGATCCAAAATCCAGTCAGTCTCAGGTTCATGCTGGATTGAGAAATACAGCACATCCCAATTCTTTAACCAAGCTCTGTGAGGCAGAATTATAGGAGCATTTAGTCTAGGGCTAATTTTGCCTAACTACTAGGGCTAAACCCTCTGAATGCTCTGTTGATGCCCCATAAATTATGAGATTTTCCTCTCTGATGGGCAGAACAAACTATTTCTGTCCTTGTTGGAGCTCCTAGTGCTATTTCTTCTATCCCTTTCAGTTGGCTCTTCCCAGCCTCTGAGAGTTCCCTCCAACACATGCACCGATCGGTGCTCAGCTGGGGAGGGGTGGGGGACCCTCCGCAGGTCTCTGGCATCTCATCCTGTGAGGCTCTCCCCTCTCTGAGACTGTGTCCCATGAACTCTCGCTGCCTTGGCCTCCCCGGACATTCAGAATCCTCCCTCAACTCATGGTGATTCCCGGGCTCTGCTTGGGTTTCCCTTTCCTCAACGGTGACTGGAAGCTCTCTCAAGGTAAGCTAGTGCCATCGTAGGACTCACTTCGATTATTTTCCGTCTCTTGGGCACCATGGTCCTTCATCTCCTGACATTCAGTATCTTAAAAACTCTTGTTTCATATATTTATTTGAGTTTTTAATTATTTCATACCTAAAAACAAAGCTGATCCCTGTTACTCTTACTTGGGCAGAAATAAGTGTCAAGTCACTATTTTTTGTCCAATGTATACACCCATATACTTTTTACATTTTGTACATTTTGAATCTTTCTTTTCTCACTACTTGATTCCAGTTCGGGAATGTAGAGTCTCAAGGATTTCACGAACTGTCCAAAGACTGAGCTAAAATTCATGGCATCTATGAATTACCAGAGTCCAAAGATACTCTATGGCTTAGCTGGTAATCATCTTTAGTTTCAAGGATTATTTTCTAGAAAGAATATGTCCTATACAGATGTGTATATATATATATATATATTTATATGTAATATCATATATTTTACATAAATGTTAAATGATGTATAAATATATATAAATAAATACCTATATAATCATT